AAGTCTCGTAGAAAATCCGTCCGAAAAATCGTGAACACGTATACGAGAATGAAGATTGTCTTTGTAGGGACACAGTTTAGTAGCGTATGCGGTTTTGTACATCGCTTGCATTGGTCGGTCGTACATAGCCCACCCGACACGTCAGACACTTGTGACAGACAATATACGGAGTAAAATTGGAACTAACTTGTTTTATTTAGAAAGGGCAGTTAACACCCCTTACATCGTACCAGAAACCGTACAGTCTTCATATGTCCAAGCTATTAGCTGCGTCTTGACTGTGAGTGAGGCCGCCTTCTGCACTAATGGCAGAAGAATCCAATCTATTTAGGCCTATGGTATGGTTCGTATTTCCTCAGTGTTGTGATTTTTAAAGTCCCCAGTAATATGATAGTATGACCACAATCAAAACGTACCATTTTGATGGTGATGAAATCGTTACCGGTAATTTGGGAATTAAATAGCAACGTTTTGTAATTTGCTCACCACTCTTAAAATGTTTATTTTTGTTCTTTTGGGCCAAAATGTGTATTAAAATGTGCACGTTCTGTGTTCTTCGAAAGATCAAAAGATCAGTTAATGTTAAGTCAAAACTAACTATACCATTTCACCTGGTTGGTCTACTGGTTAGTTAGTCTGATTTCTGTACTACGGGCCCAATTCACTGTTACGGTTCAGAGTTTAAGATAATCGATATTCGGGGTCTGGGTAGGTTTATTATTATTCCGTGTCTATGTTTCCGGTTCCCTTATTAATGAGGAGAGTCCTAGCCTTGGGGTATTTATGAGGAACATTTGTTGTGTAATCCAACTTTTCAACACGACCTTTTTTTACGTCGGACCGGATATCCGGTTGAGGGGGCAGCAGACCGAGTTATGTCGGACGCCGGTGTCTGCGAGGAGACGGCGATGAGACGTGTGGAAGGCGCACGAGACAGCATGAGCCGCACGGCTGCCTCACAAAATGTCAATTCCAAATGATAGTTATGATTTTGCACTGAATTCTATTTGATCAGATCACTTTCGCTACTGAGGGCGGAAAATTAGATTGTATTGATCTTTATTCTACGATGTTAATATTTTTTCATCGTGTAAAGTAATCGTGTACATGTGTTAAGCGTAAGTGTACATATTGTGTACATTTTAGTACAGTAGTGTACAAGTGTACGTAAGTGTACTTTTTTTTTTATTGCCCTTGTAGGCAGACGAGCATACGGCCCACCTGATGGTGAGTGGTTACCGTCGCCCATGGACTTCAGCAATNTGATCTTTATTCTACGATGTTAATATTTTTTCATCGTGTAAAGTAATCGTGTACATGTGTTAAGCGTAAGTGTACATATTGTGTACATTTTAGTACAGTAGTGTACAAGTGTACGTAAGTGTACTTTTTTTTTTATTGCCCTTGTAGGCAGACGAGCATACGGCCCACCTGATGGTGAGTGGTTACCGTCGCCCATGGACTTCAGCAATGCCAGGGGCAGAGCCAAGCCGCTGCCTACCGCTAAAATAGTGTTGGAATGCTATATAGTGTTGGAAGGGCATGCTTGACGCGTCACACGTTGTTCCGCCATCTCTTGCCGGTTGAAGCCCTCCTACTGCACTCATTTAGGGGACTTCCCACTGTAGTTTTAATTCGGTCCATTGGGCCATTGGTTTGGTCCATTGGATTGGTTTGGTCCATTGGCTTGGTTTGGTCCATTGGGCAAATTTGATTACCCAATACAAAATACCGATTCGACCCGCCATTTGGCTGCGAAACATGCCTGCACGCTAAAACAGACGCTGCTTGAAGCCGTGCTCTTTAAGAATCGAGATGTTTGTACGAAATTCGGTTCACGAAATTCTATGCATTGTTCTCCAGCACCACAACTCCAGAGCGTTTATTTTCTTTCTTTTCACTACTCGCACAGTCCACGTCTCAGCAGCGTATAGAAATATGGAGAATATTAGTGTTCTAACGAGTCTGATCTTTGTGGTCTTAGTTATGTTTCTATTTCATCATACCTTCCTTAGTCCGTCCAATGTCGACCTCGTAACAGCCATACGCCCTTTAATTTGGTCTCATTATTTGAGATTAAAGTTCCAAGATATATGTAGAAGTGGACCAAGTCGCAGCCCGCTATTTGAGTCAAGTCCGGTGAGTTATTTTTAGCCTGATTGACAATAATGACCTTTCTTTCACTGCGATCAATCCTTAATTCAAACTAAACCCGACAGTAGCTTCTCCAAATGTTGCACATTGGTTGCAAATAAAGTGGTATCATTTGCGTATCACAAGTTCGCAATCCTATACCTACCAATTGGTACGCCATCTGCCCAGCTCTTCAAAGTGATGCGCATTATTAGCTCGGTGTACACATTGATTGAGGGTGGCGATAGAAGGTAACCTTGGCACAAATCCAGCACTTGGATGGAAGTTACCAGAGAGAACGTCACTAGTGCGCACCGAAGCAGTACCTTTCTTATATAAGCCTCTCAATAGGCGTACAAGATATTTCGGTGTCCCCGTGTCTATCTAGCAAGGTCTTCCACAAAACGACTGCGACTATGCTGGTGTTCAAATACTCGTGTATATCGGGCGTTTTATCTTTTAGCCCACGATGACTACTGAATTATTTATTTATTCTCTTCTTTACGGATATACGTTGCATTTATCGCCAAGCTTTACTTCAAAGCAAATAATATCAAGTAACGTCACTATAATTCTCAGGGTTGTCGGAACCACCACTTAATATCAGTTTGGTAGCATTTCAAATATCATTTGAAATGCTACCAAACTGATATGAAATTCCGCACGCAGCCCGCACGGGTGTGTTTTTAACGCAAAAGCAAACTTAATTTAAAAGTGTCCCTGCGGAGTGTACCTAAGTACCCAATATCAATTTACGTAGTATGGTACGTGAACTGGAAGTGGTACGTGCCGACTTGTGGTCTCGATTGAACGGATATTAAGACATATAACTCACGTTTTACAGCTCCCACTCGACTTACTGATACAGATTCACTGTAAAATGAATTTTACTTAACGGATTTAAGTAAGATTTTTTGTTATCGTTTTTTTTATGTATTCTACAATCTCGGGACCGCGGTACATTACATTTTGTAATTTAATATAGGTTGAAAATAGAATTTGTCTTTAATCTATCGATAAAAATACCTTTACTTTATATTAAACTGATGAATGGTTAGTTCATAGTTCAGTAATAGTTTGGATATTTACCCGAGAGATCGGGAAAGCTTTTAGTAAAGTAATAATGGAAGATAAAACGTTGTATCCAAAGTTCAGGCAAGTTCGAGCCGAACTATAAGGGCCTAAATACGTACTGAGTTATCAGCGGCACTGTATACTTCTATATTACTTCATAAGGATTAGTGAACCTCGGTCTTCTAGTTAGATGCTTAATCAGATAATCCATAACTCGAGAGGCTACGATAATAATTTACTGAATCATCACAAACTAAAACTAACATAGGCAATTATATTGTGGTAATAGATTGATTTTTTTTTATTTCGAAATCCAAATTCTAATAGCTAACTTGATGTGAAATATTTTTGTAAGAAGTTTGACCTATTTCAACGAACTATTTATTTTATATTTCGGAATTCAATAAGATCGGGTTTCCCAAAAACTAAGAATGTTAATCTTGAAGAAAATTTTGATTATTTTTTCAAGTAAATGTTGATAAAATATTCTTGACATGAATATAATAATTGAGTCGACTATTATCAAAGCCGGAAATGTGACTTTTGGACAACTATTGGTAAATCAGAAAAACGAATTATTGACTTTGTATTCCATTGGCAGTCACAAAACTCTTCTGAACGACATCTTAGATAAATTAGGTTAAGTATTAACCTTTATTTAATGCAGGTTTTGAACCGTATTCTTTGAAGGAGACGATTATATTCAAATCAATCTGTATTGACATATCAATAACATTTTTTTTGTCCAAATGCACAGATTGCCACCTTTGATAATAGACGACTCAATTGTTCCTTGTAGTTCCTTAAAATAAAGTTTAGAATCAGATAAAATTATAAATACTTAATTATTAAGAAAAACAAACAACGAGCAAAACAACAAACAATATTATTGTTTATTTTAGCGCACCTTGCGTTGTCTACCTCGGTATATTTATGTAGTATAAATTTACGTTTTACTCAAGGCAATGTCCCAAAGGGTGGGTGACGTTAACAACGTTAGAGAGTAACCCGAAATTAACATTCAAAAGAAAAATATTTAACAGGTATTTTATTTCATACTAGCGACCCGCCCTCGCTTCGCTTTGGACACATTAAATTTTATTATTGATAGTTGAGTCCCGCGATGTTATTGTTATTGTATGCTATTGTCGTACCGCGGGTGACGCCGCGGGGCGAAGCTAGTCTAAAAAAAGTAGCTTAAGTTACTCCTCATATCATCGGCTACCTGATATGAAGTCCCGTCAAAATCGGTCCAGCCGTTCCCGAGATTATCCGGAACAAACAGACAGACAGACAGACAAAAATTGTAAAAAGTGTTATTTTGGTGTATGTACATATATTCATATGCATGTAGTTTAAAGCGGTTATTTCAATATTACAAACAGACACTCCAATATTATTTATATGTATAGATAACAACCCTACCGAATAACTAAAACATGAAAGTAGCAAGATTGTATGGCATTCGTTGAATTACATTACATTCTATGTCAGTATTACATAAAATATTTTTATATATAATATGATAGGACGTTTAATTACTTGTAAACAACACAATGCCTTATTATGCAATGAAATGGTAAGACTAAAATAAACTAAAAATGTAAAAACTCTATTTTATTTTCCGTGGTACATTTCACAATTCGGTGAGTGACGACTGCAAATCAAACGCTCGGGGGAGGTTGCTTCGTCCTACGTGATTTTTCGTCATTGGTTTAAATACTATCTAATATCAGGCATTAAGTTCTCTCTCAACCGTCTAAAACGTCTGAGCGGAACATCAGTCTCGATGGGGACGGCCACCGTGTAGCACGCGATTTGTAGTGCCGATTTGAAATTTGTTTCAGTACTTTGCGCGCAAGAATTCTAGTCTGGACACGATGTTCCGATTAAAATGATGATGAATTATTATTCTCAACGACATAAGTTGCTCCCGTTCGCTTTGTTAGCTTCTAACAGAGATGTAATCGAAAATTTTCTCCAATAAGTATGTAACATTATCGTGATGACAGTGATGAAAAGAATTTACTATAGTGCGTTAATTTGAAAAAAAAAAAGAAAAAAGTAAAGGTGTGTATATGTGTATTTCATTATTTTAATTTTCTACGACAATTTACGGTGTAGAATATAAAGCTTTCTATGCCATGCAATATGGAGCTTAATTTATTTTAACATTAGTTAGAATGTCGCTAGCTTTGGGGATTAAAATAGTTTAGAGTAATTCTTAATCACTTGTACATAAAATTAATTTAGATACATTTTAATAATAACCATTAGTATTCTCTGAGGAAGTAGAGCAATATTTTAAGTATATTATTCATTTAAATTACGGCAAGGGAATAAATTATAGGTTAAAATAACCTAGTTATTTTCAAAGGAAGATTAAGCTAAATATTCAATCTAAAGTTCAATCAGTTTAACTAAAAGAAGCATTTTTCTTGATTCATTTCTTAGGGCTACGTGAACTTCGTAGCTTCCGAAATTTTATGCCAAATGATCTCTAAAGTAGACTTGAAGCTACAAAATTTTTACTTACATTTTTTACGACTCAGTACGACCATATCTGACTGAGATACAGTATTTCATAATCACCAAACAAAGTCGGAAAATCATTTAGGTGATCCCGTAATTTTATTTCCTCAGTGTTTTTCAACTGCCCTAAAAAGTATGTATTTTATATTATTAAATATTACATTACCGTGAAAACTGAAAAAATATATAATTACGACACTTCGTTTCCTTTTTGAATAGGCATACTAAGACAAATGTGCTACCCAAAAATAAATAGCAATTACCGAGTTAGCGCTAGAAACTTAATAATATTTTAAACGTTAAACAATTCAAATTGATCGCGTAAGTCACATATTAGCTAAACAGCTATTAAAATAGATATAAGGATTGCAAAGCTGCCAAGTAAGAAGTCTGGCGGAAATTTTAGTTAACATTGTATGCACGTTGCCGTGTTGGATAAAATGTAACATCTGTACCGATGCAGATTTATGTTATAAACATTAAACATTTAAAGTGAGATTTGTGTGAAAATGTATACATTTCAACAGCTTAATGGATAATAGTGTTTGTGCACATTTACGTGAATTATCCAGAGTTTCGTAATCCTAGTGAATAACCATCGTTTTTAGCTGCAAGCATTCGGAGTCACTAATTTAATTATTTATCATTAAATGTTCTATTATTAAGTCGTGTTTTGTTATTCATTTATTTTAGATTACTTAAAAAGCGTATAATTTGTAACGGCAATTAAGGAAATGAAAATTCTTAACATTAAAGATGAAAACCATTCGTGATTCCGTCATTAGTGAAGAACAACTTAGAATGGCTAGAGGCCTCGTTTCTTTTGTGATACGCGTTATGAATTTTCAATGAAATCGGCAAAGAACAGAAATAAAACCAACAAGTAAACTTGATTCATTCATTCAAGTATAATTTAAGGACTTATTTGCCTGAGCCACTCGCAAATATGCCTGTTGTATACCTACATAAAGTTATTATGACATTGTACTGTGGAATGTCACTTTCAGAATTTTCAAATTTATTGAAAGTGAAATTCATTTGGACCTTTTGGGTCTTGATGGAATTTTGATTCTCTCTATTCTGTACCGCATGTGTTCCATCGGGAGTGCTCTGAGGAGTTGTTTGAAATGAATCCGTCATCTTTTTTTATCACCGCACCACTCATATAAGCAGGAGCTGTGTCTACTATTTAAACCGTGGATTATAAGGGGTGTATGTCTTGGAAAGCTATAAAAAAAATATTTTGTTTATTTCAGTTTGACTGGTAATGATTTGAAATAGAGGAAGAAAATTTACAATATCTCGCGGCTTACACGAAGAAAAGATACTACTTTTATATCTCTGAACCAAATGTTTAGAATGTATCGTATGTACTCGTTAAATTTTCCGATTTGATTCACGGTCCACTTTAGTTATTTAAAATTATCGTTTTCATAAATAATCACACAGTGATCCATTTTGCTTAGACCACATTGCTGCTTTGATTTTGCTTAAGAATGCGGAATTATTTTTAAAATAAGAAACAACAAATAAAAAATTTGATTATCTCATTAATTTAGATAAAAATCGAAATAGGTTAACTTAATTTAATAATCAAAATATAATATAAAATAAATAAAATATCAAAATCAAAATAAAATAATCAAATTTTTACAGTGATTTTGATTTGATTAAATCGATTGATGATTTGTACATCTGTTTGTTGGAGCTTAACACAAATAGTATCAGACCGACTATAAAGATATTTTTATTATATATTTTTCATGTTTGAAATCTTTTTTGAGTGTCCCTTGTACCGGTTGCAAGCGGGACATTGTTTTCTTTTTTTTTTCTTTATTAGAACCGTGTACCTATTAGGACATTGTTGTTTTACAAAAACTATTTATAAATTACTATTGAAAAGGATTGGTGACGTCCGAAGATAACGGGATTTTGTTATAATTTTAGGTTTTCGTTTTACATTGAACTTTGAAAACGAATTGTGTGTGACGACTGAAAATTGAAAAAAGAAAAAAAGTTAAGAATGATAAACGGAAATAATTTCCTTCTAGGATGTTAATTTAAATGATAGTATTTTAAAGACGCCTATTAAATTTAATTAGTTAAGAAAATGGTACAACCACTCTACAATATTGCCGCTGCTTCAAAGGTTGGATATAGAAGGCTTATTGAATCGTCACTTGGTTAAGTAAGACTGATCCCTTAGACAGTAAGAATTCATTTAAAAGTAATTTTGGTATGTCGGGGAAAATTCTGGTAAAAAATGATTTTTTATAAGATCTTTGTTGTGAGAAAAAATTACGTTTACTTTATCTACGAGTAAGTCGTTAAAAAAATATGATCTGTTTACGCAGCGCGAATATGAAAGTAGAAATATAAGTGTTTCTTAAAAATACAAATAGGTACTAGAGAACAATTTTTTTATCAAAATTCGAAATTCACTTTCCTTACCATAGTAACTTCACAATTCTGTTTTTGTTGTGTGGATATAATATATCATAAACAATTTCAAATAAGAAATAAGCAACAAAACAAAAACAACTGATCAAAATAATGATTTTCAATTAATATTTCTAATAGTAAAACTTATGTTTCATGAAGAATTTGCATTTTAAAGACATATCAAGCTTCATGATACGGCAATGAAGCTCTCTTTCCATTGCACAAATTTGAGCACTCTCTTACCTTTTATTCTGTCTACCGTTATTGGATTGGGATATTAATTGATATCATTTATTTCTGTTCATTGGCAAAAGCTTTACCGTAAACTCAATTTCAGTTTTCACGACAGCTTAAATGCGACGTAAAATATTAGTTATCAGAGACTTTATGTAAACAATATGAAGTCAAGCTCCCCTCTGCGGAGGGAAATTAAATAAATTATGAACAAGTTCAAGCGGTGTTGGTGATTTACGTCAGCCTATAATTTCATAAGTCGAGAGTGCGCAAATGTGTTGTTGTGAATTTAGGTAATCAAGTAATGATATTTAAAGTGGAATTTAATTATTAGAATTGAGAAAATAATAAAGCAGTTTCGGAATTAAAAGTTAAACGCTCCATAATTATTTTAAACGAAATAACGTGAGGAAACATCTAATGTGGATAGATGAAGTATAAGAGTTTGAGTTTGTATATATGTACGAGTATGTACGTACCTTCTGATTAAAAGCCAAACAGACAATTATCACGCGCTTCTAGGGCCATATGTTCGACGAAAAGATGTTTACGTAGATTCAATTAAAACCACGGAGCCCTACGAGATCATTCGCATATTATGTCTGACTACTGGACGAAAATAGTTGGAATTCAGTACATATATGTAGGGTTAGGTGCTCGGTTACAGGGATGTATTTCAAGCGTTCCTAAAACGGATTTTATGGCATTTTATTTATGTACATATTTATTTTACGAACGTATTTGATGGATGCTTTATTTATCGCCCGAAGAAAAATACCAACAATAAAACATTTTATATCAATTATTCAACATATCGAGGAGTGAAAGGCTATTTGATTTAAGCGACATTTCGCTTACCAACAATGAATGATTTTATACCAATTATTAAACTTATCGAGGAGTGAAAGGCTATTTGATTTAAGCGACATTTCGCTTACCAACAATGAATGATTTTATACCAATTATTAAACATATCGAGGAGTGAAAGGCTATTTGATTTAAGCGACATTTCGCTTAATACACGACATTTATCTATACATTAATACGTGAAGGAAAAACGTTGCATCCCTTTTGACGAAAATTACGCGGACGGAGGAGTATGAAATTTCCCACACTAATAGAGAATACAGAGAAGGAGTGCAGAATGTTAATACTATACTGTACTGGTATATACTGTACTGGTGGTAGGACCTCTTATGAGTCCGCGCGGGTAGGTACCACCCTGCCTACTTCAGCCGTGAAGCAGTAATGCGTTTCGGTTTGAAGGGTGGGGCAGCCGTTGTAACTATACTGAGACCTTAGAACTTGTCTCAAGGTGGGTGGCGCATTTACGTTGTAGATGTCTATGGGCTCCAGTAACCACTTAACACCAGGTGGGCTGTGAGCTCGTCCACCCAACTAAGCAATAAATAAATATATATATGTCAGCACACGTCAGGGATGGCTGAGCGGTAGGTTCCGTCATCGCTTGTATTCGATTGAACTCAGTTTAGTCAATAAAACTTTTTGAATAATAATTATTGAAACTCAACACACACAACTTTCACAATGACAGGGTAAACCGACAGTTTCGTTGCATATACCGACTGACCGACTGACTGACTGACTGACAGAGACTCACTGACTGAGACGGACGGAATTACTGTCTGACACGGAATGCCACGACTCTGTCCACGTACCGCCATTTTATACTGTGGCGTTACGTAGTCTACCCTTCATTTTGTGATATTTATCAAAACAACATCTCATCATTTAAAATAATAATCAAAACCACCGTCTTTTACTAAAAGTCGTTATCCACGACAACTAAAAGTCGTTATCCACGACACGGCCATTCTGACATGTCACACGTCCCTGTGTGA